AAAAAAGAAAAGATAGAACTTGTCTGTAAGTCGCAATAGGCAGTTATTCTCAATTAGGTGAGGAAAGCATCAGAATCTGGAGAAGTTTGTGGGGAGGCTTTGGAAAGCTACATGCCTTCTTCCCTTTTGTATGGGTTAGCATCTCTGCCACCGAGATCCACCTTTCTAAGGCAAAGGTGGCATATTTTTTTTCACATTTTTTTAATTGAGAAAAGAAATGAGAAATAACTCATTGGACTAGAGATAAACCCATAAACCACAAGTCTCTTGCACCATTACTATAGTCTAGGAAGTGAGTTTGCCTCAGTGAATGGGCTCCTCTGGCTGCAGACATGATAAAGCTGGATTTTTGTTTTTTGCAATTACTAAACTTTGAGCATTAATGGTCATGGAGACTTACCGTAGGAACGCCAAGTTAGGATTCAACATAACAGACTGTGGAAACTACTCTTGCTAGTGTCATCCTTTCTCACAACAGATAACCTCCCTCCTTTCCTTGATATTCTGAAGTAAGTACTGTTTCTTCAGGGAACTAAGATTTATTGGGTCGTCAGGAAAGTCATGACGTATTTTCACATAGAAAAGTATGTCATGACTTTCCTGACAACCTAATAGATACAAAGCAACTATCTTGGCCAAGAAACGGTTCTGTTTTATGACAACTCTTCTAAGCCTATATTGTAAAGTGCCATAACACAGTCACTTTAGAAAAAAACAAAGTGAATTAAAACATGTGCATGTGTTTATTTTATAGCAAAATATACTTCAGGGCCACTATAGACACCTGGGCTTTGTGTTACTATTAAATTCCGGCTTAAAAAAAATCAGTTCCAGATTTCATGTCACTGACAAATATGATACCTCAAAAAGAAAGCCCGAAAATGAAATCACGGTAATTATAATGCATATTACTGGATAAATCACCATTTCTACATGAATATAAACAATCTTTATGTAAATAATGAAACCATCTAAGATAATCTTTTGTGTTCTGCAATCTCTTATACATTCTTATTCTTAAAAATATAAATTTTCAATATTTGTTGTTGAAAGCAAACTAGAGCTATAAGACAAGTTATATGCAACTTTTTGTTTTTATTTAATAGCTCAAATATAGAAGACTATTAAAATAATATAGCAGATACATATATAGATGTGGATAAAATTCTATTAATGTTTATGGCTGATACTCATTAAATTAAGCATGTTTTTTCAAGTTTGTTTCTAATATCAATTCAATTTTTATTATAATAATTAGAATGTTTTTAAACTGAAATGACTGAAGGGATAATAACGTATTTGTGATCGGCTGTTCGGGCTTTGATATCACTCTTGTCTGTGTCACAGAGGGTGAGTGAACCACAGAAGCATGCCACTGTCTAGAGAACCTAGCAATACACACACACACACACACACACACACACACACACACAAACACATTCTGGTCAACCATTTCTTATCTCTGCAACAGGCTTCGATACTCTCCTGTGCCCAGTGATCTTAGAAACTGCCTGAACTTTTGCCTCATTGGACCAATAAACACTTCATGAATTGCTATATGGCAAATATTTTCTGAAAATAAAACAAAAATTATAGTGCTCTAATTTCTGTGACCCCCCAACTGTAAGAATTTGCTTTAGTTAAAATAGGATGTAAATATAAATCTTTACAGAATAGTATTTTTGTTTTCATTTAACAATAATAATCTGTGCATTGCCCTAACAGGGCTTCCACAATTTTCAGTACAGAGTCCATTTTTTAAAAGTTACCTTTGAAGCAGGTTATATCAGGCTGTTTTTGTGTTTTTATTATTTTTTAAAAATAAGGAAATACTCAAGAATGAGTGAGAAAAATAATGCATAATAGCAAGCAGATCCCTTCAAATAAAGCGACTTAGTCCTCAGAGAGGCCATGGCAACACGGAGAAATCATCTAGAAGAGAAACTCTAGAAAAATCAGTTCATGCCGCAGGGACTTTGGCATTCCAAGCCTTTCTCATATCAATTGGAAAGTCACAGAGAAATGGTGCCTCTGCCACAGCACTCCCACCCCCTTGTTAACCAGCACTAAGATTTGGTGAGAGACACCAGAGGTCATTAACAGGTTTTTAAAACACTAAATTAAAAAAATAAAGCAAACCTTACCAGAAAGGAGCAAGCTGACTCCACAGAGAACTAAGCCAGCGAAAGAGTCCATGCTTCCCCAAATCTCTCCATCCAGTTTCCACAGATATGCATGAGGTCTCCCAAGGATCCTTTCAAAAACCCAGAAGTTTGTGACTTTCCACTTGCATATTGTACTAGGTCCTGTTTACAAGTTCGAGGCAAGAAGGAACAGCACAGAAGCAGGCTGTAACAGTCTCATTTTGGTCTGAGCACAGGGAGTTTTAAGTTCCTTTTTCCTGTTTCCTTTGTAGATTAGGATGGGAAAGGCTGGATCTTAAAGGCTTTTGGTATCAGCATGGCTGAGGGCATGGCAAGCCCTATCCATCGTGCAATTCATCAAAACACTTATCTGTTGCTGTTGCTTCTGCTGCTGCTTTTGCTGTTGCAGGGGTAGAGGAATTTTTGTTGGAAGCGCAGGCCCTGGTCAGCATTTTCAGAAACAATAGGGGTATCCTCTCATAGGCGGGAAACTGGGAATAACAAGCCCTCCACCTATGTATGGTATGCAATGATGACCAGCCTTTCTTACACTCCCAACAGCTCTCTCGGGTCCACTTGGGATCCCTGGCAGAGGGGCTTTTGGGTGTAGGGAGCAGCTTTTGCTTTTTTTTTTTTTTTAATTTTTATTTTAACACACATGGTTTGAATTGGAAAAAGGAATTTTCTGTGATGAACACACAATCTGAAAGGCAATTCATTTGAGTGAGCACTGGTGAAGTCAATGCTTACCGTAGAGACAGGAGACCAGAATTCAAAATTGCTAGCCTGTTTTCTTTCCCACAGATGTCCTCTTTCTTGGCCAGATCCCAAACATACCCATGCTGTTGCTTTAATTATTTTTAACAATTGATCTGAAGGCAATCTGATTTATTGAAGAACTTAACATGGAAGGATTTTAATAATGAGGATTTCATAGTTATTGACCAATAAAGTTTTAGAAGCAAATGATACACAAAGTTTAAGAAATAATCTTGGTGTAAAAACCAAGCATAAGTGACTAGATTGGGACAAAAAAATGTGTCTATAAGAGTAAAGAGAATACATAGGCCAAAAGAAAAATTGCCACCATTGGAATAACACTATCTCAGATAAGATCAGAGACCTTGTAGCACTGTAACGACAGGTCTGAGAGGGCTTGAACATAATATTTACCTAATCCAGAGAAGTCACCTCGAGATTCAGTAGGCAGACACTTGTTTATCTGATTTACCGAAGGCTTCGATGGCGACTGGGCAGTGAAGGGGCTGCACCTCAGTGAGGTACAGTGAGCAATTTTATAGTCAACAAAGCAAGTTTGAGCACATGTAGACATATAACCTTCTTAGACCCTTATGGTGTTTTATAATCAGCTAATTATAGTTGTTCAGCTTCCTATATTTTGTACTTCATTACCGGTGTGTGTGGACATTTCTCAGAGACCAGCCTTCAACAGAGGCCACTCCCTGAGGGAGATGGCAGAAGGAAGCCAAATATGGGGCCAGGGGCAGTCCATGTCTGGATGATACCCCACAGATCCTAGATTTATCCAGATGATAGTTTCCCCACAATACAAATGATGACATCAGAATAGAGAGTAGAATAGTCTGTTCTTCCCCTGCCTTAGTGTCTGAGGGAAGAATCATCTACTCCTCCTTGTCTTATTCATCACAGGAAAAGGCAGATGCTGCTAGCTTGATTCTGATTTCTGTCCTAGGTTTTATCACATCAGCAATGATCCTGTGCCTTAATTAATGTTTCCAGTGTGCTAGAGTAAAGAAACCCATGCTCTGTCTTTAAGTAAACCTGTATTCAAATACTGACACAGTCCCACGTATGGCCTGAGAAGAGCTACTTAATCTCTTTGAGCCTCGGTTTCAATGGCTATGAAGTGGCAATAATATTATACCTCCTTCATGTTTTGGTGAGAGGATTAACAATATAAGTAAAAACATCTGGCACCATGTCTAGTTCACTGAAGGTTTTCATTGGATGTTAATAGATTTATTTTCTTTCATTTGTCCATTCTGTCTCTGATTTAGGTCCCAAGAACTCTGCCAAAAAGCCTCCCTCTCTATTCCTCTGAGATGGCTTTAAGCCATCATTAAGAACCAGGCTAGGAGTCGGGCATTCTGAGCACTAATTCCAGTTGTTACCATGACCTGTCTGTCAGGCCTTGGGTAAGTCATTTTTTATCTTTAGTCCTATTTCCTCAATTATAAAGTGAAGGACTTAGACTGGGTATGATAAATGCCTTTTCTGATTCTATCATCTCCTAAATCTAAATCTAAAATTACTTAAAAAAAAGACCCTGTGTCTACATCCCCAAGGTGATTTCCTAGGGCTTTTCATCTGGTTGGTTCAAAGAATACACTACTATTGGATTTTTGAAAAGTCATGATGTATTTTTCTATGCAAAAATGTATTTTTCTATGCAAAAATGCATCATGAATTTTCTGACAACACCTACCATGTACCTCTGTCACTGTGAAAGCCTGGAAGGGTCAAAATGTTCTATATTATGGTAACATGATGGTCCACTGATCTCATGCCAAATGGAACACTTAAAGAAATCCTTGGAAACAAACTCCAGGGCACCTACCTCCTCAGGCACAAGCTTGTACTTGATGGCCACACAAAGAAGCTGTCATTGCTCCCAGCTCCTCATTTTGGCTAGCTCTTGTGGGCTGAAGGTGCTGCCTTGCTTCCTTTTCTGGGCTGACTCACTCTGTTATCCAGAAAAGCTGCACAGTTTTAGAATTTTCCCATTATCCAGAAAGATGCATTGCAACACAGAAATGCAAGTTATGTTCTTTGCCACTCTCTTATCTAGAATGGGTGACCCAGTTTTATTCTGCTCTCTGAAATCCAGAAATGCTGCTCAGTTAAGTGTAATTCTATATTCTCCAGAGAACTCATGAGGTTTAATTTCATCTTCCAGAATCCAGGAAGATTATGTTCCACTTCATTCTTTCCACTGTTATTTAGAATATGGCTCAGTTTCATAAAAGATGGGTTTTCTGATCCTGTGTATGCAGATACACAGCTACTCAAAGATTCTCAGGAATCTTTAGCATGAGATGTTAATTCTAGGTGTAGAGTGAGGATAACTCGTGGACAAAAGGTTCCATATATATTGTGCTTCATCTTTCTGCCCCATCAATCTTAGACCATCAAGAAGCGATCAAGGAACAATAATGTGAACTTCACCACACACTTTGGGGTCAATAAGTCTGCAGAGATGATTGGCAACAGGTTGGTAAGTTGCAAAACTGGATGGCATGCCAGAATTTCCAAGGGAAGGGAGAGGCCACTTCCATGTCTGGACAGGACTTTCCCCAATCCATAATGTACTAAGGAAATACCACAAACTTGGACATGGGCACAACCATTCTTCAGAAAGCTGGCTGTGGCATCATTAGGGCATCTTCATTCTCTGAAGAGTCTTGATGAAGTGGACCAGCTAACCACCCTGATAACGGTGAAATGACTGTCTCATCCTTGTCTGATTAACTCCTAGTTATCTTCTCAGCCTCAGAAAGATCTTCCCAGATCATTCTATCCAAATTAGATATTCCCTGTTATTTTTTCATAATATTCTGCTTTCTTCTATGGTACTAATCACAATTGGTAATCACAGGTTTGTGTCTTTTTTTTTTTTAAAGAGAGATTTTTGTAGGTTTGTGTCTTTTTTTTTTAAAGAGAGATTTTTGCTATGGGGCATGTGAACTTGCTAGAGAAACAGAGATAAAGAGATAAAAAGTGAGAAGTCACCCCCCCAGGGGGGATGGCCATGCCACAATCCCTTCTCCTCCATTCTCCTCTTGGGATTTTGGGCACACACACACACATGCGCCTGGCGTGAGTTTCAAGCTGCTACAGCAGGGACTCAAACCATGGTTGACTGCATGGGAGTCTAGTGACATAACCATTACGCCATCTGTTGGTCCCCATATGTTTGGGTCTTTAACTTTTAATGTCTTCCCTCACTCCAACTTGACTGCAACCTCCATGAGGCAGAAACTATGCTATCTTATTCATCGTTAAATTTCCAGAACTGAGCCTAATATTTAGTATACAGTCAGTCTTAAATAAATATTGAATGAATTGTTAAAAACAATACATTTGGGGACCAGTAGTTAGCGTAATGGCTATGTCACTGGACTCCCATGTAGTCGACCGCAGTTAGAGTCCCGGACTCGGTGGCTTAACCTCACGCTGGGGCACATGTGCGTGCGTGTGTGCCCAAAATCCTGAGAGGAGAATGGAGGAGAAGGGATTGCAGTGTGGCCACCCCCCCGGGGGGGGGGTTTCTAGCTTTCTGTCTCTCTGTCTCTGTCTGTCTGTCTTTCTGGAGAGGGCACGTGCCCTATAGCAAAAACCTCTCCAAAAAAAGAATAAAGAAAAAAAAATACATTTGTTCTGTTAATCAAATGCTCATGTCAAAAGAAAAAAGGGCTCTGAAGCAGGTAATATCTGTTATATCTGTCATTTATTCTCTGTGTGATCTGGGCATCTTAATTCAGCTCTCTGAAGCTCATACCTATCATCTTTAAAATGGGGAAAAATATTACCTAAGTAGCAAGATAATATATATTCAGCATCTGGCATAAATATGTTTTATCTAAAAGTGCTGTATAGGTTCTTTCTATGCCCAGCACCACCATCACCACATTATATTGAGCTATCTATTTAATACAATGTGGAAATGAAGTCATACATTGTGGCCCAAATGATGGGCAGTACACTCAGGGAGGTCTCTGGACTTAAACCCAGGAACCTCCTGACATAGAAGAGTCTTGCAGAGCAATGTTTTAGCATTGGGCCAACTGCTGGTTCCCAAAGTCATTATTTCTGAGTTATCAGAAAACTGATTATTTTTATTTTCTTCTTTGTATTTTTGTATAACTTCAACATCATAAAAAATAATGAGCATAAATGTACAAATGAATATTAAGGAGAATTCTTGATATATTTGACCCAGGGCAGCAGGATGTACTTGATGACACCCACTGGCAAATAAGAAACAGAATCCGAGTGAACTTCAGCTTCCAAGTGAACAAACAGACTGGGCTGTCCACCCAGAGAACTAGCTGTCTACCCTCAGCTGCTCCATTCACCTAAAGAGGTTAAAATGCTCTTCCCACCATGGCCCAAATAACTGTCGTTACATTCTAGATCATAGCTTCAGCAACGTCTCCCAGACCATTCAATCCAAATTAACCCACCTACAGCTTAGCCTGAGCATTCCCCTTTCTCTGGGCTGTGGGCACTTAGCCTCCAGAGCCATCACATCTGGCTTCTTAAAAGACTTTTGGGAACATTTTTGTGCAACTGCTAGACTTAACAGTGGCTAGCAGAAAAGAAGGATCATCAACAATTAAGTCTTGGCCTTCAGCCAGGACCCACGGTTAAAGTGGCAACACCTACTCTGTTCTGGAGTGGATGACTGAAAAATACCTGATCCTCTTCAAACCCAATTCACTCCAAGTCCCTTTAGTGATTACAACATTTTTCCTTTCCTTCCTTTCTTCCTCCTAGCCTGGTCCTTTTTCTTAAAGTCAGGTTTGTAGGATATAATTTATATACAGAAAAATTTACCACCTTTTAAAAAATGTGGTAAAATATGTATAATTTTCCATCTCGGCTATTTTTAAGTGTATAGATCAGCAGTGTTAATTTTTTACACATTGTCATGTAACAATCTCTCAAACTTTTCATCTTGTAAAACGAAAACTCCATCCTCATTCATCAAATTCCAATTTTCCCCTCCCCTGGTCCCTGTCAACAAGTTTACTTCCATTTCTATGAGTCTGACTACTTTAGATACCTCACATAAGTGGAATCATGTAGTGTTTGTCTTTTTGTAACTGGCTTACTTCACTTTAGTACAATATCCTTAAGTTCATCAAGTTGTAGTACATGAGAATATTTTCATCTTCTTCCTTTTTTAGTTTTTTTTTTTGTTTGTTTGTTTGTTTGTTTTGCCATAGGGCACATGCATTCACTAGAGAAAGGGTGTGGTGAAGAGGGAGGAGTAAAAAGTCACCTCTCAGGGTGGATGGCCATGTTACAATTCCTTCTCCTCCTCCATTTCCTCTCAGGATTTTGAGCATGCACACACATATGCTGTGTATGTTTTTAAGCCACCCAATCCAAGATTTGAACCATGGTCAGCCACATGGGAGTCCAGAGCTTTAACCACCACACCACCTGCTGGCCAATGTTTTCTTCTTTTAAGGCTGAATTATATTCCAGTATATATATATATATA